CAACTGCAACAGGATGGATACGTTGTCTCCTCAGTTCTCTCTTCCGAAGTTCGACACGCCATCAAGTCGGTGGATTGTACAGCGCCCGGTCTCGACAGGGTTAATCCGGAACATCTGAAGAACGCACCGCCAGCTATCATCAAAACTCTGGCTCGACTCTTCACGCGCTACCTGTCGGAATGCAAGGTACCCACTCCGTGGTTATCAGCAGGACCGTGTTGCTGTACAAAAAGGGAGACCTGGACATTGGCAACTATCGTCCAATCTGCCTGCTGTCTGTAATCTACAAGCTATTCACTTGAGTCATCCTTAAAGGCAAATTCCGGGATTTCTGGCGAAATTTAGGTTTTCCCCGTCAAATATGGAGTAATACGCAAGGGCAGAGCATGTGCAGAAGTGGCGGGGCGTATTGATAAGGTTTAGGCGTCAGGGGTCCAGGTTGGAGCATTGGCGCCACCCGAAGCCCATTGAGACCGCCCACCGTCCTACGTGATCGTCCAAACAACCACCTGAAATGATAGATGTTAAGCCGTTGTTTGGAAAGTCGTCTGGGAGTATTTAGCGGATTTCACTTGCAAAAATCGACATCAAAACCTATCTTACGGCTTCTTTGGAGAACGCTGTCATCATTTTAGTGAGAAGAAAAAAACTTAGGATGGGAAGCAAACAAAAAAAGCACAGGAAAATAGAAAGAAAATAGGGAAACTAGGAAAAATCATTTTCGTTGCAGACTTTTTGTGGTTGTGTCGGATGATAGCGCAAAGCCAGCAGTTGCTATAGACATGTCCAAACACGTAACCTCCCCAGGCCCGGTTCGTAAGCGACTAATGAAGAGGCATTTCTAATTTTGGGGTTCTTCGGATGTATTTCTTACTCCTTTCATTACCTTCGATCGGCCTAGGGTGTGTAGCAACAGAATCGTCCGGAGTCCCGCGCTTGTGTCGCGGCCGCGACGCCGCGACTGTAGTGGACGAGTCGAGCGTCGTTCGACATCGATTTTAAAGGGACTACTGAGCCTCCCTTTACATCTCACTGCACGGGGCATGACATGGCCGGCGGAAGCCGTCTAGCAGATCTTTTTTCGTCTGTACGCAAGGCTGAACTTTTCAGGAGTCGTTCAATAACATGAGCGGTGGGGACAGGAAAAGGGTAGATACGCAGTGAGAAGGCTAACAAGGTATTGGTTGGAAATGAGTGTGAATTAACCGTCAAGAGAGCTGTTCAACCTGATTGTAAGGTAGGTTCTCGGAAATTTTCGTAAGGTTGAAAAGATTATGTCGTCGGCATTTTTCGTGGATAATCTGGATAGATTATTTTTTGCCAAGGCTTCATCGTGAATGTGTTGCCCATGTGCAATTCTTCCCCCGGGGGATGGCCCACTTGGAGGAAGTGTTGAACATGGATGATGGACAACATAGTAAATGCAATGTTTTCCTAGAATGGATCGATTTCAAGACCTAGCCTAAATTTTTTTCCAATCGCGATTACATGGTTGTAGAGACCCTAAATAACATGGAGTAGATTTTGCTATATCATTGTATCCGTTTTCGAATGGTTACATAACGAGATTGCATTACAGCGAGTATTGCTGACCAACTCGCCACACTCTCCTTTTTTTGGAGACATCCGATAAGTCTTCGATCAGGCGCTGAACAGGGGCCGTATGCTGAATGTTGGGGTTAGGGGGGGATGGGATGAACGTTGTGAGTTCGTTCGCAGGACCCTTTCTGGGCAGCTGTCGCACTTGATTGCAGCTTTGTTTTCACCCTTTTACTCTCCTGATTGTATATTTCGCAGCGTAATATGCTTTCTTCTACCAAAAGCCAGCGGATGCAAAAGATACAACAGAGCTGCAATAATTGAAGGTGCGACAGCTCCCCAGGAAGGTTCCTGCGACGAAACCTCGCCCAACGATCACGCCATCCCTCCTCCCCTACAACAATTCAGCATTACGGCCTCCAGGCAGGGCAGCTGTTTCTCATTGGAATTGGTGCGTGTACTGATAACGTACATTAGGGGTGGTGCGACGCGTGTCGCGTGCTGGCGCTTTGGCTGTTGCCAAGACCGGACACGACTCCAGGATGTTCGCTGTGCCCAAGCTGCAAATCAGACCTTCCAACGTCATATTTTAAGCAGATGTGCCTGGCGTTCGGTTCAAATGCGTGCGTAGGATCCGCAACAATTCGCTGATCGCTCTCCATGCCAAGGTTTGGGCGGTTGGTGTAGAGCACTAGACTGTTTGCGCTGGAACATTTTGCGATTTTCCTGAGTCATGCCAGTGCTTTTTGCGCTCCTTCAGCGTGATTTGATTCGAGCCTCGTGGAAGATCCTCTTACTTCTAAGATTGACTAAAATCAGAAATAATCACTGGTTTAAGGGTAGCTATACGAGCCTACAGGGTTCATGATTACTGCATATTATGCGTGTTATGAACGTGTACGCGGCACGCATGAGTGTCTTTGTAAAATAAGTAGAACGCCATTGGTATAAATATGTGTATATATGTAGGACTGTGGACATTAGATGTACGTGAGTCGTCTAGGCACTCCGATTTTGGAATTGGAGGAACTTCGGAGTAAATGGGATTGCTCATCCACCTCGGTGTTGCTCGTTGTCCTAAAGCTTAGCCAAGCCTCGAGAAAGGAACAAGTGCCAGGTGTGAAATTTGGTGTGAAACGCAGTATCGAAAATCGGCGTCTACACCGGAGACCACCGGCTCCTGACACATAGATTGACAATTACTTCGATTGAAACAGTTGAAGCCGTGATTAGGCATATTAGGTGCTACCTATATAATGAAAAAGACCGAAAAGTATGTAATCTTACCCAAATAATAGCAATTTCTTGGGATTCTCCACAAGCTACCAAGTTTGCGCACTGGAAATCCATGTAAGCCTTGAGACCAGTTGAAGCTACTGCGATGGGTGTGGGATGGAGAGATTGGACTTGGAATCTAGCAACTTCAACTTTTGGATAGCAAGAATCGCAAAGTAGGGAATCCAGCAATTCGAAGCGATCCAGTTATGTGCTCTCTGCGAGCTCATTCAATGCATTTCACAAATCAAGAGTGATGGCACGGAAACTGGAAATTGAAATTACATGGGGAAAGTCGGTGTTGGCGAGATCACAGGGTGACAGTACAAAAGGAAATAGCGTTGAGGTCGCGGTGGAATTAAAATATCAGATGTCGTACAACAGCGAGACGAGTGGTTGAAGAAATGGGGCATTCCAGTAATTGGTAATAGACTGCACACTTTCGACGTGAAAATGGAGTCTTCACGATACCTCAGTTCGTGACTACCACAGTACAATCAGAAGTGTTCAGGAGTGAAGACAATGAAGGATTTCGCCTCCCAGATAAGACGTCAGAACTTACAACACCACCCACACTTTTCTTCCTTGGTGAAATTGTGACCTGAATAGAGAGAAGTAGTTGCAGGAAATATTTGTCAGAAGTAATGTCACAGAGTGACATTAGGTTGCAGGAAGCTCATTTTCCAATCCAAGAGAATAGGCGTATGAGGATGGACTTGTCGAGGAATTACGGAATTCTCTTGCAACCCTGTATTCGCCTTTAGGGGCAGTGGTCAACCAAAGGCTTGGTGATCCAGTGTTTTGTAGTGTTCTCTGGGACTCCCGCACATACACACTATTACAGCATCACTGCTTTCTTTCCCTCCTTCGAAAGGCTTAGTCCCAGAAATGTGCTTTTCTGCCTGGACTCGCACACGTTGGTTGACTGCTGCCCCGTAACCATGTATTCGCGCCCCATTACGGGATACGCGCGCGACACGCGTTGAGCGACCCCTTGTCTTTATAGATGCGGCCATGGAGATTTCGCATCTCACTCAAACGTTTTTTTTGTCGAAGTCAATATAACTGGACTGAAATCCATTATTTGTTATTTTTTAAACCTCTTTTTAAGTAACTGCTGAAGGAAACCTTTTGTTTTTGAATATTTGTTTCTTACCTGATCATTTTAGGCGTTGTTGACAATGGCATCGGAGACCAAGTCACGCATGAGTCCTATGCAAGGAGCAGGCGGCGCTCCCGGTTGCGCATAAAGGTTCCCAGCCTGTGCAGGACAAGAAGAGCGGTGGATGTTGCTGAACGGGTCTGCCGGACCACACCGTAAATGCCCATCATTCTTTTTCTTCATTTGTGTCTATTCTCCATGCTAGGTTAACTTTTCACCGTGGTCGTAGTTCTCCATTTCTATTATTTAACACTCCCGTTCCGATTTATTCTTTCAATCTTGTGCTAAAGTGCCCTATGGCACTCTCGCAGACAGTGGGTGTTTTGTTTGAGAGGTGGTGTACCTGTCTGCGTCTGTTGATTATTTTGCATACAACTGGCTGGTAGATGTGGTTAAAATCCGTCTGTTGCTTTTGTATAGAGCTGCAAACCGCCGCACTTTCGCATTTTTTACCGTAGTTGGACATGTGACCCTTTCTTGTAATCAACTTCCATATAACATAGTCGTTCCCTGATATAATACTTGTAGCCCCGCCTTATCCATCAATTCTTCTTTGAAATGTAAATTGTGATTGTGGACCAGGAAATGAGCGTTGTGCTATGCTTTTGCGTGTGAAGTTTTCCCCTCGAAATCAATCCGTTTTTCTCCTTTGGGATAAAGTTATATAACCAATGTAGAAAGATGTGAACTACATAACTAGGTTTTTGAAAAATAATTGGAGGGGCGTTACAGAAAGAAATCCTTATTCTTTCATTTGGCCTGCAGTTGAACTTTTCTGAATTTTCTAACGCCGATTTTATTGATGGCGTGGAGCAGTTATTCATATTCACACAGGCAGCTGTAAGCAAGCATTGCAGTCGTATACGTTTGAGGAGTACGCGCTCATTATCTCCAAGTATATTGCCAACGAGCTTCGTAACTTTCACATAATAGGGAGGAATTTTTTGAATAAAATAAAATGGCAACAAAACAATCGCTCGAATCGTTTGTTAGTCGCTGCATTTAGCACGAATATTGAACAAGCATGCTGAAAGCTCCTAATGGGGTGGTCACGTTGGATTTTGATCCTGTGGCTGCTGGTTAGTTTTGTTTCTCAATGTGTCAGCTATTGGGAGATGGTTTTCAAGCATTTGTTTCTCCATAAGTTTTCTTACAAACTATTTCGGATATTTCGATTTATTACCTCTGGTGTCGTAATTATACGTGAAAACAGAGTATTGAGAGGGTGACGCTAGATTAATATAGCTTGACAGCCTAGCTCCGTAGTCTAACTCATTAATATGTGATGATTTTGGAGGTAAGTGGAGGCGAATACGTCTACAGTCTTTTTATGAGGAGTGGACATCATCTATTGGCC